GTAAATGAGGCGGCTATAAGTGTGTACTTGATCATAACATAAACGTGGATAAACATAAACGTGCATAACATAAACGTGGATAACTCTATGTACACTAAATCAAATTATTATGAACACCCGTAGTAATCATTAATAAAGTATGCTTATAGCCAAGTAACAAGATAAATCAAAATCTGCAGAACACCGAATAGCTTATTGTCTAGGAGTAGAAGATATAATGCAAATGTATAACATAATTGAAATAGACAATCAGGACATTTAGAATAAATGAATGGGAATAAACAACGTAACGTTTAATAATGAAGTCAGGCCAAGAGATCAGATAAGATATAATGCTAAACCCCTAGTTGAGCTAATACGTAAATTAACCAGTACGCGCGGGAATTACATAGAGGCTGGGGACCATGCCCTTGCGCCACCCATAGCTCTTCTGTTCAACAAATCCATAGTGTCATACCTTCCCTGATATCCTTAAAAAAGCAAGAGTAACGCCAGTCCATAGCCCAGGAACGTAGTATACCATATAGATTGAATAGATCGAATACTAATGACCTAAAGTGGATAACAAAGGATCTGAAGAACCTTATAGGTAAAAAGAGAGCGTGGTACAAAAGGATTAAGAATGAGAAAGTCAGTTTAGAGCAGGGATTCGTACAACTGGTTAGAAATACTAAAAAAGAGATAAAACAAAAAAGAAACTACGAAGTTCGCATATCAGAGCAAGCAAAGGCAAATCCTAAAGGGTTTTTTCAGTTATACCGAACAAAGATTAGGGAAAGGATAGGTCCATTTAAAACTGAGACAGGTCAAATAACAGATAATGAGGAAGAGATGAGTAGTATTTTTAATAAATATTTTATATCTGTATTTACTAAAGAGGAACTTAACAATATGCCTTCAACCGAACAAATATATGTGGGTGGGGACGAGGACAGGTTGACTAGTTTAGCAGTTACCAGGGAGGATGTAATTAAACAAATAGTAAAACTCAAACCAAACAAATCCCCAGGGCCGGATGAAGTGTTTGCCAGGGTGCTTAAAGAATGCAAAGAGGAGCTTATCGAGCCACTGTCTACCATATTTAATAAATCAATAGAGTCAGGCAAAGTGCCAGAGTCATGGAAAGTTGCTAATGTGATACCATTTTTTAAGAAAGGAGATAGATCACTTGCGTCAAACTATCGGCCAATTAGCCTAACGTCTATTGTGGGAAAGTTACTTGAATCGATAATTGCAAATATAATTCGTCTTCATCTTGAAAAACATAAATTAATAAATGAGTCGCAACATGGTTTTATAAATGGCCGTTCATGTTTAACAAATTTGTTATCTTTTATACGTTGGACATATACTTTATTCGACCTAATTGTATTTGTGCTGCTTTTTCTGCCATGTTCCCCCCTTTTTTTTTATTTTTATTTTTAATTGTTCTCAACACATTTTATACTTTAATCTCAATTAGCATTAAGTTTTAGTCTTTAATGTTTTTCCTGCCCGAAACGCTTTGCGTAATAGTGGCTTTAGGCATTGTATGTACTAGCTCTATCTATAAATCAATCAATTTTTGTAAAACCTCTTGTATGTATGTACCTTACCTGAATAAACATTTTATTCCAGCATAGTTGAGGCAGTTGATAGTGGTAAGGATTGTGATGTTGTGTACCTTGACTTTAGCAAAGCTTTTGATACAGTGCCACATGAAAGACTGATTAAAAAGATAGAGGCTCATGGTATTGGGGGTGCTATATTAAGCTGGATTAGGGCATGGCTATACCAAAGGAAACAGAGAGTTAGTATAAATGGAGTCAATTAAGTCAAAGTGGGAAAATGTTGTAAGTGGAGTGTCTCAAGGCTCTGTCCTGGGACCTCTTTTGTTTATAATATATATAAATGATTTAGATTCAGGTTTGAGTAGCAACATTTGCAAATTTGCCGATGATACAAAAATCGGAAGGGAAATTAACACGGAAGAACACACACTATCACTTCAAGTTGATCTAAATAGGGTTTTGAAATGGTCAAAAGATTGGCAGATGCAGTTTAATGATGATAAATGTAAAGTTCTGAAGCTAGGTAATGATGATAGAGTTACAAGATACGAGCTAGATGGTGTTCCTGACCCCTTCCAAGTGCTATATAGTCGTAATGGCTTGGTGTTTTCCCCTGATAATACCCTACCCTTGAACATAAAAATCAAAGAAACTGCAGAAGGCCTGTTGGCCCATACGAAGCAGTTCCTATTTATATAAATAAATACATTAAATTTTGGTGGGCCTCCACTTAATATACATAAACACTGATTTTAGTGTAAATATGTTGATGATATCATAATATAAAGATGTTAATGCTGAAAAACGTATTTTATTCATTAATTAAATTGTATAAGGGTAAATTAAAAGAACGTAACTTAAATATTATTTGAAGACGCGCGCTAATTATATGATCTAGTGCCATGTATTCATTGATATTCTAAACATATTAGCAACTTCTTTTGTCCTGCTTTATTCATAATAGTGTCTTAGAAGGCGAGAACAGCAAGTAACACAAGCCAGCGCATATGTGTACACGAAAGGGTTCGTGTACACAAACTTGTTTGTGAACGAAGTGGGTTTTTGTGTACTAAACCGACTGTGTGTGTGTGTGTGTGTGTATACGAGTCGACCGGTTAGTGTGTAGAGTGTTGTTGTGACTGAGCCACGTGTTGTGGTGCTCCCTCAGTGTCCCCTGGTGGTCCACACTCACCCTCACCACCAACCCTTCACGCAAACTTCTCGGCTCGTAGAGAAGAGATTTGGTCCCCGTTAGTATATTGTTCATCTAAGAATGCTCACACCTGATTCTACCTCCCTATAGTACATACGGTATCTGTACTTTGGGTTACACCACTGCACATCACTGCACATCACTTGACAAGGCTGCCATCAGAACCATAACAAACTCTTGTCTTCACACAACACACAGCCCCTCTGTTTAAATCCCTTAACTCGCTAAACATACACTCACTCCACAATCTCTTGTGCTATTTACATGTACAAAACCTTGTTCCTAAATGCTAATCCTGATCTGAAATTCTGCCTTCACAGATGTAATAGAACCCATAATCACCACGCCAGAAATAAAATACTGTATCTAAGATATCCTCAGAGTCAAACTAAATCTGTGAAAACACTCAATGCAAATAAAAGGGCCCAGTCTATAGTACCCACTCCCTAATGAATTAAAAATTCTCCAAAGTATACTTTATTCAAAAGTAAATCCCAAAAGTGCCCAATTTCCTCCCTATAGTTTCCACCTTGTGCTACCCACTCACCTAATTTAGTACTTAAAACATTCAACTTCATCAATATCTTCTATTCTATCAATTTGTAATGTATTAAGTATGTTGAACTCTAAATCTGTTTGCTTTATTTTTTGGACTTGCATGAAACACCTTGCATGTGTTATAAGAATGCAAGAATGTTACAAGGCTTTGCAAGAATGTTACACTCAAACCCCAATGTATGTACTGTACTCTCTCAACCCATTATGCCTTGTACATAAATAAATAAATCAATAAATCAATACTGGGTAAACATGTGCCTCCTGCTCCAACCTGGAGAGTGCCAGAAAATATGTTGATTTTGCCCATTAGTGATTTATTTATTTATTTATTTATTTATTTATTTATATTTATTTATGCATATACAAGAATGTACATAAGGAATGTGAGGATACAAATATGGTAATTACAGTCTTGTAAAGCCACTAGCACGCACAGCGTTTCGGGCAGGTCCTTAATCTAAGAAAATTTTAAGGAGGTAAATACTTGCAAAAATTATAGACAAAAAAATGATAACAGATTACATGAAATGAAAAAAAAAGATGAGAGAAAATTGTAGGTACAGTATATTAAAGCACATATAGTATATTACATATTACAGTATATTAAAGTGATAGTGTTATAAGGCAACCTGCTTAAAAGCCTTGATTATTATGATGCCTAGGATCACTGTAAACATGATAGATTTTTACATCTGGTTTATGAGTAGAAAAGGGTTCCAGCATTGGCTTGGCTAATGGGTACCAAGGATCAGCAGGTCTTGGACAGCTACCAAAAAGTGTTTTTCATCTATGTCATCATTATTTAAACACATCCAACTTAACATTCTATTCTAACCTAATCTTAAAGGGGCATTGATAGATTTACTTGTAGTTTCTAGCTTTCCCCTAGGGCATAGAGTGGGGTGTCTTGAGCTAGCTTGGCTGAGAGGGGCCAGGGATTGGCAGGCTGTAGAGGTTTCAGTGTTCTCTCAGGACATGGAGGGTACAAGCTCTTACTTTGCTAGGATAGCGACCCTTTGTATGGTATGGGCAGCCAGTGACTGCCCTACTGTGGGTATTCGAGTGTTGCTATCACCTGGCTTACTGAACTGCTAAGGGGTTTAGATTTTGCTGTTTGGCTTTGTATTTTTTGGGGGGGAATAGCCTTCTGTTTTATTTCCTTACTGGGAACCAGATTGTCAGGGTGCATACAGCTTGTTCGATTATCGTAAATCGCCTAATAACAACAACCTAATCTAACTTAACCTAACTGGATTAGGTGTGTGACATCACTGTGTTTCATAGATTGAAATTTTGACAGTTTTTGGATCCTGCTCTTGGAAGGCTTCTAGTGTATTTGATAGTGATTCCAAAGATTCCAAAGTTGTGATTCCAAAGTTTAATATACACTCCTCCTGCAATGTTCCTTAATGTGGTGCTAAGGGGACAGTTTGCTATTCAGAACCTCTAGATCTGTTTCTTCTTAGTGTTCTCTTAAAGAACTGTTCTTTTAGAGAACACTTTCACATCACTTAATTACCAGTGAGAACACCTAGTCTTTCTGCTTAGTGTTCTCTTAGAGAACACTAAGCAGATTTGTTACACATGATCTTCCTGTTTAAAAATCATACTGTCTGTCTGTTATTATGTCATTATTCTCCAGGTGTTCTACCCATTTGGTTTAAAAAAAAATTCTAGTGTTTTGACTGCCATGCTTATTAATGATACTTGTCTGTAATTTTGGTCTTCTCTGCTACCATTTTTATAGATTTTATAGATTATAGATCTTTCTCATGTGTTCATGGGCCATTGCTCCCTGGGCCTCTATGAGGGGGGAGGGGCCAGGTTCTGGCTCATGGTCCCCCGGTAGGCAAACAAGAACTCTGCAACTGATGACTCCAAGTAGTGTGGCACTAATCATTATGCTAGCTTCAGGGTGCCTCCAGGGCTCACCCAGAAACTGGCATTTCATTATATTCAAAGCTGATATTTTGTGCCTTCTCAGTAAGAATTCCTGCAAATCTAGATACAGTATCCGGTTAACTCAGAGAGGAGTTAGCCCCATATAATCCAGATTAGTGAGTGTCATTACTATTATTATTGGATTTTTCTAAATTAAGAAGAGTTGTGATTCATAAATTGTAAAAATATCAATTGAATTGATAAAATTCAAGCATGAAACTACTGTACTACTGCATTTAGTATGCTAATTCTTTGCTTTTAGGACTTAATGATGTATATTTTTATATCAACAGGGGACAATGCCACAGAGAAAGAAAGAGGATTCAGAGTTTGGTCCTGGGACAATCGAGTCTGATGATGAGATTGAGAACTTTTCAGGCTCTGGATCAGAGGATGAAGATGAGGTGTGTGTGAGAATAATTTAGTACTGTAAATTAATTTCTATGAATAATATTCAGGATGTTGCATTAAGCTGTCATGACTCCTACCATTAATTTTGTCTTCTGACAAAGAAATTCTTTAAGGCATATTCTGACAAATATTACATGTTTGAAATGAGTTCTGCAGAGATGATGTTCTCAATTTTGTGATAATTTACTAGGATTTGTGTGGATTTATTAAGATTTACCTGTCACCCCTCCAATATGTTTCAGTTTCCAGAACAACCTCTTGTGTGGAACTTTGTTGAAAGTCTTTTTTAGGTCCAGATAGATGCAGTCAACCCAGCCATATTGGAACTTTGTTGAAAGCTTTTTTTAGGTCCAGATAGATGCAGTCAACCCAGCCATATCTTTCCTGTAAAATCTCTGTGGCTCGATCATAGAAACTGAGTAAATTTGATACACAGAATCTTCCAGATCGAAAACTACTGTATATTGTCTATCTGATATTATATAGTTTTCTCCAGGTGTTCCACTCATTTAGTTTTAATTATTTTTTCCAATATTTTGCCTGTTACACTCATCAGTGATACAGGTCTATAATTGAGGGGGGGGGGGTCTTCCCTGCTGCCACTTTTGTTGATTGGAACTACGGTATGTTAGCCTTTCGTGTGTCTGTGGAACTTTTATGGAACTACTAGCTGTATCCGGCCACGTGTTGCTGAGCCACAGCAACTCTTCTCTGTCCCCCTGTCCTCCCCACCATTCCTCCACTCCCCTGTCCCCTCATCCTCCCCACCATTCCCCACTCCCCTGTTCCCCCATCCTCCCCCACCATTCTCCACTCCCCTGTCTCCTCATCCTCCCCACCATTTCCCCATCCCCATGTCATCCCCACCATTCCCCACTCCCCTGTCCCCCTTGTCCTGCCCCACCATTCCCCACTCTCGTCCCCTCGTCATCCCCACCATTCCCCACTCCCTCATCTGATGCGTTCTCAAATGATCTGATGTTCCCATCACTGAGAAATAAGAAGAGGAGTTAAAATAAAGAAATAAGAAACTGAAAAATAAAAAAAATAAACTATACGCAGGAAATGAATGGTATGGAAACAACATAGTTCAATTCCAACCCACTGTCACACAAAATAATTTAATCAAAATGAAAATAAATTGAAATCTATGAAAATTCAATTTATCAGTGCAATCGAAAACATTGAAATGGAATTATAAAGTATTTAGTATAGCGTGTGTTGCTTTTACGTGCAACAGATGGTGCTGTTTAAAAAAAAAATATATAAAATTTTTTACCTGTCACAGGTGTGGCATCTATATAGTAGGTATATAAAAACACGCGCGTATTCGAATGGAATGTTGTGTCAAAATTTCAAAGAAATCGGTGAAGAACTTTCAGAGATTAAAGCATGTGTTGCTCCTACGTCCAACAGATGGCGCTGTTTTTCAGAAAAGAGCATGTTTTTACTTGTCGCAGGTATGGCATGTATATAGTATTACAGTATATAAAAACACGCTTGTGTGTGAACGAAGAGTTGTGTCAAAATTTCAAAGCAATCGGTGAAGATCTTTTGGAGATTAGCGATTTTGAACAAACAAACATTTACATTTTTATTTATATAGATTGTGTGTGGGTGTGTGTGGGTGTGGGTGTGGGTGTCAAGGGCTGTGCGTGGGAGGTGTGTCTCGGAGGCCCATTGTAATGCTTTGATTTTGCTTTTAAATAACATCTGATGGGAAACAGTTAGACTGTTTGTATGAAGCAGTATTGTACTGAACTGGATGTTCTGCCGGAATGTCTTGCTACTGTACTGGTATACAGTATGGAAGGTGTGCCAAATGGATGGAGTGTCTTTCTGGATATCTTAAAATCATCTTTTCCAATATTGCTCTTCTATTTTTGCTAGGTTGATGCCTCTCCACTTCATGCAATTGGGAAATTGGATAATAATGATTTTGGTCTATATTTCAGATATTGTATAGGATGAAGAGAATGCCTCATGAATCAGATTTTTATAAGGACTTTGGGTTTGTGGACTCGGTTAAGGATTACCAAAGAGATACATGGGATGAAGTTCTCAAGTATATAAAACCCAAAAGGACAGTGAATGTCAGTGATACAATTGCCAAGATACGCTTAGAGGAAAAGGAGAAAAAAAGGGTAAGTTCATTTTATCATCAAATTATCTTCACAGATTTGTATTGGTAATGTTATCATATTTAAAAACATTCAGACACTCATACTTGAATTGATAGGGTAGATAAATACAGTTTATTTAACACGGGCGGTACACACTCACTGAGCGGGGTTATGCGGGGAAATTAGTTTTGTTGTTTATTTATTAGAGAGTGAACTGTATTAATGATTGTGTTTAGTTCCCACACAACCCCACAGGTTAGTTAAATTCAATTATTAATTAAATTTAGATCATCCAGTGTATTATTGAACTTAGCTTCTGTATAATCTAGGTACTGTATTTCTAGTTAAAATTTTTACTTTATGAATAATCATCAGACTATCTAAATTATGGATAGTAATTTATAATTCAGGAGCTTAGCTGGCTAGGAGTGTCCGCAGGCCTGAACTTGTTGATGACAATATAGCTGCTCAGTGTCCAAGTTGTGGGAGCACTAGCAGGATACACACTTCCTGCTGGCAAATTATGACAATATAGCTGCTCAGTGTCCAAGTTGTGGGAGGACTAGCAGGATACACACTTCCTGCTGGCAAATTATGACAATATAGCTGCTCAGTGTCCAAGTTGTGGGAGCACTAGCAGGATACACACTTTCTGCTGGCAAACTATGACAATATAGCTGCTCAGTGTCCAAGTTGTGGGAGCACTAGCAGGATACACACTTTCTGCTGGCAAACTATGACAATATAGCTGCTCAGTGTCCAAGTTGTGGGAGGACTAGCAGGATACACACTTTCTGCTGGCAAATTATGACAATATAGCTGCTCAGTGTCCAAGTTGTGGGAGCACTAGCAGGATACACACTTTCTGCTGGCAAACTATGACAATATAGCTGCTCAGTGTCCAAGTTGTGGGAGGACTAGCAGGATACACACTTTCTGCTGGCAAATTCACTGTTTAATTTCAAGTAGATTTATGTTATATTTAACCAAATTATCTCATATGAATTATTTGAGAATTAATGATTAATGCTCATTTGTGAGATGTTGGTGTTGTCACACATTATAATATTATTAAATACTGGCATATTTCATGTTGCTAACTTGATAATGAAATAACTTTGTGATTATATTGCTTTCCAGAAAAAGAGAGAGAAACAGAGTGTAGGTGAAAATGGTGATGGCGACGTAAAAGAACCCAACGACAGTGACTCCTCAGACAGTGACACAGACTTGGAAGGTCTCTCTGATGAAGAATTCTTGCCAGATGTTGAAACTAAAGGTATCATCACTCAGACTTAGTCAGGCCTTTTTAAATTCAAATAAGTTTATTGAGTTATAAATACACACAAAGGGATGAGGTAGCTCAAGCTATTTTCACCCCGTTTAGTACAATGTGTTAATTATATATGTATATATTTTAGTACAAGTGGGTTTCCATAGGCCATTGCTCCCTTTGCCTCTCTGAGGGGGGCCAGGTTCTGTCTCGTAGTCCCCGGTAGGCTGAACATCAATTGACTGATGTCCCAGACTAATATGGCATATATCAGTCCAATAGCTCCAGGGAGCCTCAGGGGCTCGCCTAGAAAATGGCATTTCGTTACATTCAATGCTGGTTTTTTGTTAACAGATAAGCTAAAGCAGAGAGAAGATGAGGTGAGACGAAAAGAGAAAAGAAAGGATCGACCATTAAAAATAAAAAAATCACTAAAAGAAATAGAAGAAGAAGAAGCAGATGCAAAATTTTTTGAAGATGCCCCTCCATGTGTTGCTGACACTACATTCTTAGAAATGAATTTTTCAAGGTCATTACTAAAGGTACGTTATAGAAATTTTATTTTATGATGTATGGAAAATATGTAAGTAACATTGTGAAATCAAGTATGATATAATGGTTGAATATATCGTGCAAATACTGTACTCATATTGCAATATTATAGAGAGATTTGATATAGTTGTATAAATTGAATTTGGTATCTACATTACAGGCAATTGACAGTCTAGGGTATGATAAACCTACACCCATTCAGGCAGCAACCATTCCTGTGGCACTCCTGGGTCGTGACATCTGTGGATGTGCTGCAACTGGCACAGGCAAAACAGCAGCATATATGTTGCCTATTCTGGAAAGATTACTTTACAAGCCAAAGGATGATATTGTAACTAGAGTGTTAGTCCTCGTGCCCACACGAGAGTTGGGTGTTCAGGTAAGCTTCAAAAATGCTTTTCTGGAGGCTTTCCGGAGGGATTGCTGAAACCATCTTCCTGAGATTGCTTCATGTTAAGAGGTCACATCAGCTGCAGATGGTTCTGCTTGGTCTGCTGGAGACTAGAGCCAGACCCTGCCCCCCCCCCCCCCCCTCACAGAGGCACAGAGAGCAGATGACCCACTGCCACCTCAGAGTGTCACTATTAAAAAAAATCTCAGAAAATCAGCACATTTTTACAGACAACTGGAGGGTTCACAGAAAATGAAGCCTCGAAAACCACCAAACAACTATGGCAAACGAGCCACATGGAGCACGGGGCTCAATTGAATGAGCTCTAAACTCATTAGTACCTTTTACCTTTACCAGGTGGCCTGGCCCCAGCTCCCAGTTGGCTCAAATCAGTTCTGTTTCTGATGTTGGTGTCACCAAACCAACTTGTAATGCTTCCGGGCATGTCAGCTCTTGGGCAAGCACAAAGCTTCAAGTTAAATGCAGACTATCCTTGGACTTGCTTGTCCCATGGGGGGCCAATTGCATTATTTCATTGTTTTCTATTTTAGTGTAGCTTCACGTACATGTTTTGATTCTGGCTTGTGTGGTCTCGACTCTTTGGGTTTTGGGGTGCATGTACTCGGGGGCTCTCTTTTCCTATGTGGCCACTAGTGCTGCCCTTGCACAGCCAGAGTTTCCATTCTGTTGTGTGTTTGGGTGTTCGTCCTTGTGAGGCTGGCCCAGCGGGGTGGAGGTCTTCAGAAAAAAACTACTCCCCTACCGCTCTCATTTATTACAGTTATATAGACGATATCTTTGGTGTAATCACAGGAGGACCAGTGTCGGTACAAGCATTCCACAGATAGGCAGACGACATCCACCCAGACCTAAAATTTACTGTTGAGACCCACGCTAAATCTTTACCATTTTTGAACACCTGTGAAAGAAGATACCTACAGATGAAAGTTTTTTACAAGGACTCCAATCTACATTTGTATCTTCTTTATTTATCCTGTCATCCAGTCTCCCTGAAAAAATCCATATCATATGGTCTGGAAATCAGGATAAAGAGGATTATTATCCAGAATACTAACCCTTGAAGCACTGGAATGTTTGTGGAGAGGTTTTAGGAACTGTGAATACCCTGAAATAACACTCTAGAATGTCTCAAAGAAGCTTTTGACTGCTAACAGATAGGATCTTCTCAGAAAACCAAATGCTGAATTCCTACAACAAGGATGATTCTGCCTAACTTCTACATCACCTCAACAACAAAAACTCTTGGGAATGAAATCAACAGTTTATGGACTTAGAGGAGAGACCTATACTAAACACAGTGCATAGAAATTCTTTCCTCTTGGCCCCAACTGCTGGCCTAGAAGCGGAGGACATCTCTAGGTGACACCCTAGTCGATGCAAGGTTCCCAGTCACTCTACTGTAGGTTTTAAATGGGACAAATAAAAAAGATAGGAACCCGAGGATACAAAAGTTATGCGTATACAAGATGGCTATTCAGGGAGATCTTGATTCCTCTGTTGGGCCCTTGGTTGGGGGTGTTCTTTGGATGTGTTGTGACATGCTAGGGGTGGCAGGTTTGTTAGTGTGCCACCTGTGTCCTTCTCGGTGACAGTATTAGGTAGCCTGGTACTTTTTTTTTTTTTTTCTTTTTTTTCAGTATTTGTCTCTTGTTGCTTGTCTTTGGTTTCAATTTGCTCTGTTCCTTTTGCCTTTGTTATTTCTCGATTGGTATCTGGTATTGAATACTGTTACCTCTTACCAAAGCCGCTGTTTTGCACGTGCTTGGTGTTGACACTCATTGGTGCTGTTCTACAAGTTACCTTTTGCGTTCTTTTGGGCCACGGGGACGCTAAGCCCCGAAAACACCTCAAGGTAACCTCAAGGTTTTACTCATTTGCGGTATTTGTTTGGTGGTTTTCAAGGCTTCATTTACTATGAACCCTCCAGTTGTTTATAAAGCTGTGCTGACTTTCTGGAGGCTTTTTCTTGTTAGGTGTTGGACTGTTGCCTGCTCTCTGTACCTCTGTGAGGGAGGCCAGTTTCTGGTCCCTGGTAGGCCAAATAGAACTATCCACAGCTGATGTGACCTTTTAGTATGAAGCCATCTTGGAAAGATAACTTCAGAGAGCCAATGGGGCTCTTCCCCAGCATTTCAAAGCTGGTTTTTCTGGAAGGGGGAGGGGGCGTCGGCTCCCCGAAACTATCATCTACTGATCAGTGCCATACTATCAGGTGTCATCAGTCGCTGAGTTCTGATTGGACTACCGAGGACCACGAGTCAGAACCTGGTCCATTCAGAGAGGCACAGGGAGTGAGGGCCTATAAAAACTTTACATTTAAAGTTTAATCATACTTGCCACCACCAGGAAAGCACACAGAAAGGCAGGCAAACCAAAACAAACTATGCATGGTTTTAAAAAGCAAGACTGCTGCCTCAGAACTATCATATGAACTCTCTCAACAATAAAAACAACCTCCAAATTTACTTCAAACATGTAAATTTGTTTGCAGTTTTGCCTCACCATACCACCTTGTTTGGGAGGGAGACGTACCGGGTCAGACGGATCAACACCAACCTCAGTTCTTGCTCTGTGCTTGGGTGTAGTCATCAAGTGCCCTGGCTCTAGTCGCCTTCATCAGCTAAGTGGTTACTTAGGCCTTTTGAGACAGGGTTGCCTGGTTGGGTTGGGTTCTGTAGCCTACTTGGGTTTTATGGAGCCCGATTGCATTCCAGTTGTTTCTGTTTGCTACTTTCAACTCTTTGGCTCCTTAGGAACCCAATTGTGTTGCTAGCTCTTTGTTTGCAGCTATGGCTCTTATTTATTTATTTTGTTCTTTATTTATTAATAAGAACTTTGTTGAATTTGTGGGTGTCCATCACATTGATATGCTTCTATTCTTAAAAACCTGCTAACATGCATAACATTTTGGTTCTGGCAACCCTGCTCTGTGGCTGTTTATACACAGTTGCATAGCATGAGCCAGGAGTTAGAGCTACATGAGCACAGGGTTTACTTCCCCCGTGTGCTCTTTGAGTACAATACTACCCTTGTGTGGTTAAGGTAATATTCCCCTGATGCGTTCGAGATACATTCCCTTTAGGGGACCTCCTCACTTGAGGTGGCCCTCGCTCTTAAGGTAAGCCGGTGATCTGTAACTGTCTGTCATCCCTTGGGTTGGGTGTGTTTTTGGCTGGTTGAGCACACTGGACTTGTGTGACTAGCTATTATATTAGCGCACAGGTGCGACGATTTTTCTTCCTAATTTCCCATTGTCCGTGGCTTGGTCTTGAGGGTTTATGCTTTGTTTTCATTTTGCAGCTTTTTTCTGCTCGTGGGTTCTGCCTTTCACTTTATTAGGTCCTCCTAGGGTGTGTGCAGGTGAACCCCCTTGTTTCCCCTCTGTGACTTTTGTTGGGTTCGGGTGGCTAGATTGCCTGCTCTCTGCAGGGGTTCTACTGGCATAGCATTCCCAGTGCCTGGATTTCCTTGCAGGGGCTCATACCCTGCAGGCCCTGGAAATCGGCTATGGGCTCGGTTGTACTATGGTTATCTCTTCCGAGTCCGCACTCAACAATTTTGAGGATTATTCGTCCCCTGTGCCACCTGGTGATGTTGATTCATTCTGCCTCCGCTGTGCTTTTATTGGGAGAGTTCCTTTGACAGTTTTGAGGCTGCAGTTTCACTTTTCAAAACAAGCAGTATATGATAGCTTCAGGGAGCCCCCGGGACTCGCCCAGAAATTGCCGTTTCATTACATTCAACTCTGGTTTTCTGTGGGGGAGCCCCTGGCCGGCTACCCCCAACGAGGAAAAAAGTTATCTTGAGGTTATCTTGAGATGATTTCGGGGCTTTTTAGTGTCCCCGCGGCCTGGTCCTCGACCAGGCCTCCACCCCCAGGAAGCAGCCCGTGACAGCTGACTAACACCCAGGTACCTATTTTACTGCTAGGTAACAGGGGCATAGGGTGAAAGAAACTCTGCCCATTGTTTCTCGCCGGCGCCTGGGATCGAACCCAGGACCACAGGATCACAAATCCAGCGTGCTGTCCGCTCGGCCGACCGGCTCCAAGGTGGAGCTAACTAGTGGTGGGGCTAGTTTCACTAAGTTTTGGTTAGTTCTTTACGTCTTGGGGAAGTTCTTTTGAGTATTTTGGGAATTTTGGAAACGAGGCAATGGTTTGTTCTGAGTCACCTATCTTTCTAGGTGCCTTCCCTAGTGATGACAAAGATGATATCCTTTAAATGTAAAATGATCATAGGCCATCACTCTCTGTGCCTCTGAGGGGGGCCAGGTTCTGGCTCGTGGTTCCCGGTAGGCAAAAAGAACTCCGCAAATGATAATACTAGGTAGTATGGCACTTAATTGGTGATAATAGCTTTCGGGAGCCTCCGGGGCTCACCCAGAAACTGGCATTTCATTACATTCAATGCTGGTGTTTTCATATCTTCATAATAATTAATAATCATAATTTTACCATTAAATTATTAATTTAACCCTTAAAGTGCGCATCACTTCATATGAAGTGTAAATCGTTTTACCAGTCAACTGCGCTTCACTTCATATGAAGTGTATGGGTACCACGCACGATTTGAATGGCCCGCGGTGTAGCTGGGGGTCCCATACGCTGCCCAGGGGCTCTAGTAAACAGCGGCCATTTTGAAAAAAAATCCCGCTCACGATCCGAAGGCATGGGAGGCCTCAGTTTAGCGAGAGTCACCATGGCGAGCGCACGGTCAAACGCCTCACGGGCACGCACCACTCAGTCCCTCACCCCAGAGCAAATAGCCCACGAATTATTCTCTGAAGGTGAAGAAAGTGTGTTTGACGATTCAGACAACGATGAGGATTATACACAGTTGTCGGGTGATAGTAGCAGCAGCAGTGAAAGTGAGAATGACCGCCATGCCATGGCGAGGCCTATACGCTCATCAATGCCTCCTCGCCCAGTTTCTACCCCAATTCTACCACGACCTCACAGTTCCTGT